GACGTCACTGGAAGGGGGAGGGGCTTCCTGGTGACGTCTCAAACCGTCGTCTGGTGGACTCATCACAGCTGCAATGGAGGAGTCTCCCACCTGGTGCAGATACGACGGGAGGCTGATCGATGCCCGGGTGCGGTCGAGGGATGGCTCCCTATTGGTCGACCGCGTTACGTATGATTTCATGGCTTTATTTTGGTGATTTCGAAAAGTGTATTGGTTTGGCCATGTTTGTGTTGTTGTAGTACAGAGTTAGACTGATGGCCTTAATCTAAGTTGTCTTGTGGTTGTTGTTGTTGTTGTTTGTGTTGTTGTAGTACAGAGTTAGACTGATGGCCTTAATCTAAGTTGTCTTGTGGTTGTTGTTGTTGTTGTTTAACTTTTATGGCTTGATTTTGGTGATTTTCGAAAAGTGTATTGGTTTAGCCATGTTTGTGTTGTTGTAGTACAGAGTTAGACTGATGGCCTTAATCTAAGTTGTCTTGTGGTTGTTGTTGTTGTTGTTGTTTGACTTGCATCCCACTGGGATTTTTGCACACAGCGTTGGTGTACACGGTGCTTTTTCTGCAATATTTTGCTGTCTGTTCTTGGATTTTCTGTTTGCACTCAGTCACACACATTCACTCAGTAATACAGTCACTCAGTCACTCACTCAGTCACATATAGTCACTTTAAGATGTTTTTTGTTCATGTTTTTGTTTGTTGCGGTTGCACCCGATTCAAGAGCCAAATGGCTCACAGGGCTCTATACCTAATACTTGAACTTGAACTTGATGATGATGTAGCGATTTCTGCCCACTCGGAGGAGGGGTTGGAGGCGCTGCTGCTGAACCTGGAGCTTTCCACTAAGAGGGAGGGGGCCTTACCGTCAGCCCCACCAAAACTGAGCACCTGCCTGGGTATTTTTTGCCACCAAACACTCCACCCCCACAAATTTCAACTTGTGATGGGGCATCTTCTTGGTTTTTTCGGTAAAGTCACGTAGTAGAAGGGAAATAATACAATGATAAAAATAAAACATAATAAAATATAATTCTCACGACGTTTCGGCCACAACGCAAGCAGCCGTCCTCAGGTGAAGAACAGGTCTGTCGGAAAGACAGCGTCTGACTTGATTTGACCCAGACTGTCTTTCTGCAGGGGAGCTAGCAGCTCCCCTGCACCAAAAAGGGGAGAAATCGAGTCCAGCCAGCTGCCACCATGTAGAGACCGTCCCTTCACGCATGTTCAACGAGCCAACTATCAGGCAGCGATCTGTAAGTGCTGTCTGCCGGCTAACCCTGTGGTGCCAAGCCCTGCTGAGTATGGATGGACAGACGATGATGGCAAGCCGGCCATTTACCGGATGCGCTCCCCACCCGCACCAGATGTGATCTTGGAACTGCTGGCATGCAAGTGTCTGTGCGTTCATGCACAATGCCAAGCTGCACGTGCCTGTCAAATGGATGTGACATGCACAGACGCGTGCAGTTTACAGACCTGCAGTAACCAAAAACTGCAGGATGATCCAGAACCTGACTTTGAATTCGGGGAGTCAGATGATGAGTGACACAAGATGGTGATTCTGATGGTATTACTGTGGTAGTAGTAGTATACATTGATGCACAGTGTGGTGATTCTGATAGTATTACTGTGGTAGTAATCGTAGTATACATTGATGCACAGTGTGGTGATTCTGATGGTATTACTGTGGTAGTAGTCGTAGTATACATTGATGCACAGTGTGGTGATTCTGATGGTATTACTGTGGTAGTAGTCGTAGTATACATTGATGCACAGTGTGGTGATTCTGATGGTATTACTGTGGTAGTAGTCGTAGTATACATTGATGCACAGTGTGGTGATTCTGATGGTATTACTGTGGTAGTAGTCGTAGTATACATTGATGCACAGTGTGGTGATTCTGATGGTATTACTGTGGTAGTAATCGTAGTATACATTGATGCACAGTGTGGTGATTCTGATGGTATTACTGTGGTGGTACTCGTAGTATACATTGATGCACAGTGTGGTGATTCTGATGGTATTACTGTGGTGGTACTCGTAGTATACATTGATGCATAGTGTGGTGATTCTGATGGTATTACTGTGGTAGTAGTCGTAGTATACATTGATGCACAGTGTGGTGATTCTGATGGTATTACTGTGGTAGTAATCGTAGTATACATTGATGCACAGTGTGGTGATTCTGATGGTATTACTGTGGTGGTACTCGTAGTATACATTGATGCACAGTGTGGTGATTCTGATGGTATTACTGTGGTAGTAGTCGTAGTATACATTGATGCACAGTGTGGTGATTCTGATGGTATTACTGTGGTAGTAATCGTAGTATACATTGATGCACAGTGTGGTGATTCTGATGGTATTACTGTGGTGGTACTCGTAGTATACATTGATGCACAGTGTGGTGATTCTGATGGTATTACTGTGGTGGTACTCGTAGTATACATTGATGCACAGTGTGGTGATTCTGATGGTATTACTGTGGTGGTACTCGTAGTATACATTGATGCACAGTGTGGTGATTCTGATGGTATTACTGTGGTGGTACTCGTAGTATACATTGATGCACAGTGTGGTGATTCTGATGGTATTACTGTGGTGGTAGTCGTAGTATACATTGATGCACAGTGTGGTGATTCTGATGGTATTACTGTGGTGGTACTCGTAGTATACATTGATGCACAGTGTGGTGATTCTGATGGTATTACTGTGGTAGTACTCGTAGTATACATTGATGCACAGTGTGGTGATTCTGATGGTATTACTGTGGTAGTAATCGTAGTATACATTGATGCACAGTGTGGTGATTCTGATGGTATTACTGTGGTGGTACTCGTAGTATACATTGATGCATAGTGTGGTGATTCTGATGGTATTACTGTGGTAGTAATCGTAGTATACATTGATGCACAGTGTGGTGATTCTGATGGTATTACTGTGGTACTCGTAGTAGACATTGATGCACAGTGTGGTGATTCTGATGGTATTACTGTGGTGGTACTCGTAGTATACATTGATGCACAGTGTGGTGATTCTGATGGTATTACTGTGGTGGTAGTCGTAGTATACATTGATGCACAGTGTGGTGATTCTGATGGTATTACTGTGGTGGTACTCGTAGTATACATTGATGCACAGTGTGGTGATTCTGATGGTATTACTGTGGTAGTACTCGTAGTATACATTGATGCACAGTGTGGTGATTCTGATGGTATTACTGTGGTAGTAATCGTAGTATACATTGATGCACAGTGTGGTGATTCTGATGGTATTACTGTGGTGGTACTCGTAGTATACATTGATGCATAGTGTGGTGATTCTGATGGTATTACTGTGGTAGTAATCGTAGTATACATTGATGCACAGTGTGGTGATTCTGATGGTATTACTGTGGTACTCGTAGTATACATTGATGCACAGTGTGGTGATTCTGGACTTGGTTACCGTTATTAACACCATCTAAGTACACACAGAGCTTGATTACAATAAAGAAACCTACTTCACATATACCCATCACTAACGATATGTTTGGGATTAGATGTATCATTGACTAAGTATATGCGAATGTTAATGTTTATAATACTCAAGTAGCATATTCTTGGTTCTTTCGGTAAAGTCACGTAGAAGGGAAATAATACAATTTTCTTGCTGTGGATTTCACACCTGATGATGATTGCCTGTGCTGCAGTCGAAACGTCGTGAGAATTTTGATTGTTTAATATTTTTATTATTTCCATTCTACGTGACTTTACCGGAAGATCCAAGAATATGAATCCCTGCAGTCACGAAAGCTTTAAATCAAAATTCAAGTAGCAGTTTACCTTCCTATGATATCCCTTATTATCCTGTGTTTTCATTGTGTATGTAAACCAATAAAGACCAGTTTGTGACTTACCTGGCTTTGGACTAAGTCGTTTTTCAATAACGATGCCCAATTCATCATTCCGGACGCCTGTCACAGAGTATGTGTACAAAAGTCATGGTAACCACAACTAAGCTGCCACTCCGCAAAGGTTATCATATCAGAATGTGTCCCACACTTGTAGAGGATTACAAACATCATTACTCGACTTTGCCACCTCGGCTGGTACCAATAAGTGATCTTTTTGGTCTGGACCTATAGACCCCATGTAGAGGGTGGAACGCACAAAATGCGTCAATGCAATAAAAGCTAACGTGCAGGAACAACGAATTTCAGGTGAGAACCCTCAACCAACAACACCGACGCGCAAGGAAAGTAGACAACGAACAAGGGACTGGTCATCGAAACGAAACACGCTTTGGACGGGGTCCTCGTAACCCTACCCCCGGCTGAGACTGGAAATGGAGCGCTGGGGACCCCCCAGGGCAATACGCAAATGGCCTGACAACTCGGCAGGTGGAAATAGACAAGATGGAATGATAATTGGTTCTTTACCCTTCTATCTGGCAACAAAACTGACACCTTTTTGCAAGGAGTCATGTTTGCATAGACCGCAATACCTGCAGTCATAAATACAAACAAAAGACATAACTCTGATAATGTATGTGCACTGTCCTTGAAGTTGATTGGTCCACACCCGAGACAGCTTTCCTTCGAGCCTAGTCTCATATGGGTTGGACCAGATGACGCCAAAAGGCGCACAACTCAAGGACAATGCACCATCAGAGTATGAGAGCTCGGGGCAAGCATCTACACTATGGGGACCTCATTTGCCAGTAAAAATATGATAATTGGTTCGTTACCCTTCTATCTGGCAACAAAACTGACACCTTTTTGCAAGGAGTCATGTTTGCATAGATGGAATGTTGGGCTTCAACCGCGACGGGTTTACAGATCAGCGGAATGGTCAGCCCTGTGACCCGAGTTCCATTCTCGCTCGCGGTTGATTCCTCCCCAACTGAGCCCTGCTGGTTCGAGTTCAATCTGCGCTCACTTACAGCACTGATGTGACGGCTACTCGAGCATAATGTGTCTTCGCAGGCGAGGAACAGGGTGTGAATTCCATGAGAGTCATCATACAAGTCAGACGGGTTTCTTAAGGCACAAGAGACACACACACACAGAGACAAATACAGATAGAAAAACACCCACAGAGACACGCACACATACACACACAGAGGTACAGACACACACATACAGACACCTACAGACACACACAGACACCCACAGACACACACTGACACACTGACACCCACAGACACCCACAAACACCCACACACTGACACACTGACACACACAGACACCCACAAACACCCACACACTGACACACTGACACCCACAGACACCCACAAACACCCACACACTGACACACTGACACACACAGACAACCACACAGATACATACACACAGACACACACACAGACAGACACACACACAGACACACCGACACACACAGACAACCACACAGACAACCACACAGACACATGCACACAGACAGACACACACAGACAGACACACACACAGACACACCGACACACACAGACAACCACGCAGACACACACAGACACACACACACAGACAGACACACACAGACAGACACACACAGACACAGACACACACACACAGACAGACACACACAGACAGACACACACAGACAGACACACACACAGACACACACACACAGACAGACACACACAGACAGACACACACAGACAGACACACACACAGACACACACAGACACATACATACACACAGACAGACACACACACAGACAGACACACACAGACAGACACACCGACACACACATAGAGACACACACAGACACACACACAGACAGACACACACACAGACACACACAGACACAGACATACACACAGACAGACACACACACAGACACACACAGACACAGACATACACACAGACAGACACACACAGACAGACACACACACACAGACACACACAGACAGACACACACAGACAGACACACACAGACAGACACACAGACACACACACAGACACACCGACACACACACAGACACACACACAGACACACACAGACACAGACATACACACAGACAGACACACACAGACAGACACACACACACAGACACACACAGACACACACAGACAGACACACACAGACAGACACACACACACAGACACACACACACAGACACACACAGACAGACACACAGACACACACACAGACACACCGACACACACAGACACACAGACACACACAGACACAGACACACACAGACACACACCGACACACACACACAGACAGACACACACACAGACAGACACACACACACACACACAGACACACCGACACACACAGAGAGACAAATATTCAGCGCCACAAATCGACCATCACGCGGTGAGTACTGCACAACCTGGTTAACACTCAGCCAATCATCACTCTTTCGGGTGGGAGGGTCGATACAACTGGTACCACTTTATAAATATCAGCGCTTCTCTCCCACGGGGCATGAAGCGAGCTCCAACACCATCATCATCACCCTATATTTCTGGGATGAGTAAAATCGGTACTATTTTGCGTGCACCCGATATGGATGTTGATGTGGTGATGTTTGATGTTGATGTGGTTGGTGGGTGATGTTGATGTGGTTGATGGTAATGGGTGATGGTGATGTGGTTGATGGGTGATGTTGATGTGGTTGATGGTGATGTTGATGTGGTTGATGGTGATGTTGATGTGGTTGATGTTGATGTGGTTGATGGGTGATGTTGATGGGTGATGTTGATGGGTGATGTTGAAGTGGATAATGGGTGATGGGTGATGTTGATGTGGTTGATGGTGATGTGGTTGATGGTGATGTTGATGTGGTTGATGGGTGATGTTGATGTGGTTGATGGGTGATGTTGATGTGGTTGATGGGTGATGTTGATGGGTGATGTTGATGTGGTTGATGGTGATGTTGATGGGTGATGTTGATGGGTGATGTTGAAGTGGATAATGGGTGATGGGTGATGTTGATGTGGTTGATGGTGATGTGGTTGATGGGTGATGTTGATGTGGTTGATGGGTGATGTTGATGTGGTTGATGGGTGATGTTGATGGGTGATGTTGATGTGGTTGATGGTGATGTTGATGTGGTTGATGTTGATGTGGTTGATGGGTGATGTTGATGGGTGATGTTGATGGGTGATGTTGAAGTGGATAATGGGTGATGGGTGATGTTGATGTGGTTGATGGTGATGTGGTTGATGGTGATGTTGATGTGGTTGATGGGTGATGTTGATGTGGTTGATGGGTGATGTTGATGTGGTTTGATGGGTGATGTTGATGGGTGATGTTGATGTGGTTGATGGTGATGTTGATGGGTGATGTTGATGGGTGATGTTGAAGTGGATAATGGGTGATGGGTGATGTTGATGTGGTTGATGGTGATGTGGTTGATGGGTGATGTTGATGTGGTTGATGGGTGATGTTGATGTGGTTGATGGGTGATGTTGATGGGTGATGTTGATGTGGTTGATGGTGATGTTGATGTGGTTGATGGTGATGTTGATGGGTGATGTTGATGTGGTTGATGGTGATGTTGATGGGTGATGTTGATGTGGTTGATGGGTGATGTTGATGGGTGATGTTGATGTGGTTGATGGTGATGTTGATGGGTGATGTTGATGGGTGATGTTGATGTGGTTGATGGTGATGTTGATGGGTGATGTTGATGTGGTTGATGGTGATGTTGATGGGTGATGTTGATGTGGTTGATGGTGATGTTGATGGGTGATGTTGATGTGGTTGATGGGTGATGGTGATGTGGATGGGGTGATGTTGATGTGGTTGATGGTGATGTGGATGGGTGATGTTGATGTGGTTGATGGGTGATAGATGATGTGGTTGATGGTGATGTTGATGTGGTTGATGGTGATGTTGATGTGGTTGATGGTGATGTTGATGTGGGTGATGGTGATGTTGATGTGGGTGATGGTGATGTTGATGTGGGTGATGGTGATGTTGATGTGGGTGATGGTGATGTTGATGTGGGTGATGGTGATGTTGATGTGGTTGATGGTGATGTTGATGTGGGTGATGGTGATGTTGATGTGGTTGATGGTGATGTTGATGTTGTTGATGTTGATGTGGTTGATGGTGATGTTGATGTGGTTGATGGTGATGTTGATGTGGTTGATGGTGATGTTGATGTGGTTGATGGGTGGTGGTTGATGGGTGATGTTGATGTGGTTGATGGGTGATGTTGATGGTTGATGTTGATGTGGTTGATGGTGATGTTGATGTGGTTGATGGTGATGTTGATGGGTGATGTTGATGTGGTTGATGGGTGATGTTGATGTGGTTGATGGGTGATGTTGATGTGGTTGATGGGTGATGTGATGTGGTTGATGGTGATGTTGATGGGTGATGTTGATGTGGTTGATGGGTGATGTTGATGTGGTTGATGGGTGATGTTGATGTGGTTGATGGGTGATGTTGATGTGGTGATGGTGATGTGATGGGTGATGTTGATGTGGTTGATGGTGATGTTGATGTGGTTGATGGTGATGTGATGGGTGATGTTGATGTGGTTGATGGGTGATGTTGATGTGGTTGATGGGTGATATTGATGTGGTTGATGGTGATGTTGATGTGGTTGATGGGTGATGTTTATGGGTGATGTTGATGTGGTTGATGGGTGATGTTGATGTGGTTGATGGGTGATGTTGATGTGGTTGATGGTGATGTTGATGGGTGATGTTGATGTGGTTGATGGTGATGTTGATGGGTGATGTTGATGGGTGATGTTGATGGGTGATGTTGATGGGTGATGTTGATGTGGTTGATGGTGATGTTGATGTGGTTGATGGTGATGTTGATGGGTGATGTTGATGTGGTTGATGGGTGATGTTGATGTGGTTGATGGGTGATGTTGATGTGGTTGATGGGTGATGTTGATGTGGTTGATGGTGATGTTGATGTGGTTGATGGTGATGTTGATGGGTGATGTTGATGTGGTTGATGGTGATGTTGATGGGTGATGTTGATGGGTGATGTTGATGGGTGATGTTGATGGGTGATGTTGATGTGGTTGATGGTGATGTTGATGGGTGATGTTGATGGGTGATGTTGATGGGTGATGTTGATGTGGTTGATGGTGATGTTGATGGGTGATGTTGATGGGTGATGTCGATGTGGTTGATGGTGATGTGATGTGGTTGATGGTGATGTTGATGGGTGATGTTGATGGGTGATGTTGATGTGGTTGATGGGTGATGTTGATGGGTGATGTCGATGTGGTTGATGGTGATGTTGATGGGTGATGTTGATGGGTGATGTCGATGTGGTTGATGGTGATGTTGATGGGTGATGTTGATGTGGTTGATGGTGATGTTGATGGGTGATGTTGATGTGGTTGATGGTGATGTTGATGGGTGATGTTGATGGTTGATGTTGATGTGGTTGATGGGTGATGTTGATGTGGTTGATGGGTGATGGTGATGGGTGATGTCGATGTGGTTGATGGGTGATGGTGATGTTGATGGGTGATGTTGATGTGGTTGATGGTGATGTTGATGTGGTTGATGGTGATGTTGATGTGGTTGATGGTGATGTTGATGGGTGATGTTGATGTGGTTGATGATGTGGTTGATGGTGATGTTGATGTGGTTGATGGTGATGTTGATGGGTGATGTTGATGTGGTTGATGGTGATGTTGATGGGTGATGTTGATGTGGTTGATGATGTGGTTGATGGTGATGTTGATGTGGTTGATGGTGATGTTGATGGGTGATGTTGATGTGGTTGATGGTGATGTTGATGGGTGATGTTGATGGGTGATGTTGATGGGTGATGTTGATGTGGTTGATGGTGATGTTGATGTGGTTGATGGTGATGTCGATGTGGTTGATGGGTGATGTTGATGTGGTTGATGGTGATGTTGATGTGGTTGATGGTGATGTTGATGGGTGATGTTGATGGGTGATGTTGATGTGGGTGATGGTGATGTCGATGTGGTTGATGGGTGATGTTGATGTGGTTGATGGTGATGTTGATGTGGTTGATGGGTGATGTTGATGTGGTTGATGGTGATGTTGATGTGGTTGATGGTGATGTTGATGTGGTTGATGGTGATGTTGATGTGGTTGATGGTGATGTCGATGTGGTTGATGGGTGATGTTGATGGGTGATGTTGATGTGGTTGATGGTGATGTTGATGTGGTTGATGGGTGATGTTGATGTGGTTGATGGTGATGTTGATGTGGTTGATGGTGATGTCGATGTGGTTGATGGTGATGTTGATGGGTGATGTTGATGTGGTTGATGGTGATGTTGATGTGGTTGATGGGTGATGTTGATGTGGTTGATGGTGATGTTGATGTGGTTGATGGTGATGTTGATGTGGTTGATGGGTGATGTCGATGTGGTTGATGGTGATGTCGATGTGGTTGATGGGTGATGTTGATGTGGTTGATGGTGATGTTGATGTGGTTGATGGTGATGTTGATGGGTGATGTTGATGGGTGATGTTGATGTGGTCGATGGTGATGTTGATGTGGTTGATGGTGATGTTGATGGGTGATGTTGATGTGGTTGATGGTGATGTTGATGTGGTTGATGGGTGATGTTGATGGGTGATGTCGATGTGGTTGATGGTGATGTTGATGGGTGATGTTGATGTGGTTGATGGTGATGTTGATGTGGTGATGGTGATGTTGATGGGTGATGTTGATGGGTGATGTTGATGTGGTTGATGGTGATGTTGATGGGTGATGTTGATGTGGTTGATGGTGATGTTGATGTGGTTGATGGTGATGTTGATGGGTGATGTTGATGTGGTTGATGGTGATGTTGATGGGTGATGTTGATGTGGTTGATAGTGATGTTGATGGGTGATGTCGATGTGGTTGATGGTGATGTTGATGGGTGATGTTGATGTGGTTGATGGTGATGTTGATGGGTGATGTGATGTGGTTGATGGTGATGTGATGGGTGATGTTGATGGGTGATGTTGATGTGATTGATGGTGATGTTGATGTGGTTGATGGTGATGTCGATGTGGTTGATGGTGATGTTGATGGGTGATGTTGATGGGTGATGTTGATGTGGTTGATGGTGATGTTGATGGGTGATGTTGATGTGGTTGATGGTGATGTGATGGGTGATGTTGATGGGTGATGTTGATGTGGTTGATGGTGATGTTGATGTGGTTGATGGTGATGTTGATGGGTGATGTTGATGGGTGATGTCGATGTGGTTGATGGTGATGTCGATGTGGTTGATGGTGATGTCGATGTGGTTGATGGTGATGTTGATGGGTGATGTTGATGGGTGATGTTGATGTGATTGATGGTGATGTTGATGTGGTTGATGGTGATGTCGATGTGGTTGATGGTGATGTTGATGGGTGATGT